AACCTGACTTCGAAGACCTTTAAAGTCAGGTCCTAGTTTAGGTTTCCAGCCTGATTTAATTTACTACTTCTTCCCCCAAAACACCCTAAGAGCAAGCAGTAGGAAGCCATCCCCTCCTTTTTCCTCAACGCTGCACCCTCCTTTGTGTTTTCAAACCTTTGTTATTAATTCTCTTCACTTTTTGAAACACTTCTTTTTTCCTTAACAGGAGAAAAGCCACTTCTGTGATGTCTCTTACTCAGGTTTTTCTGCATTAAGATGAGTGTCCAGCACAGTAACATCTTCATATAATGCTGACTTTCAAAGAACAATGCACGCTCCTTGTTTCCCTAAAATTGGTGATAATTTTCTTTTTCTCTTCTTTTTTTTTTTTGACAGAGTCTTGCTCTGTTGCTCAGGCTGGAGTGCAGTGACGCAATCTCGGCTCACTGGAACCTCCGCATCCGAGGTTCAAGCGATTCTCCAGCCTCAGCCTCCAGAGCAGCTGGGATTACAGACGCCCGCCACCACATCTGGCTAATTTTTGTATTTTTAGTAGAAATGGGGTTTCACTATGTTGGCCAGGCTGGTCTCGAACTCCTGACCTCAGGTGATCCTCCCGCCTTGGCCTCCCAAAGCGCTGGGAGGGTGATAATTTTCAAAACACAACTTCTAAAAGTGTGGTTATGACATTTGAAGAAGACAGACTAATAGCTAAAATAATTTTTCTGAAGAATTTATTGGGAGACGGGCCCCCACTTGAGCACAATCGAATCAATCGAATAGTAGAAAAGTTACTTAAAGAGACAATAATTAAGTGCTTCAGTGATTCAGGATTTGGGAAGAGACATCTGGGGTCCTATTTCCTGTTTGTTTTCAAATGATGAGCCGTTTAGAGAACGACAGCTAAGATCACTCTCCGTTTGTCTTCAGCAAATTGACCCGTGACTTGAAAGAGAAGAGAACGAGGTGATCCTGTGTGCCTCCTGAGGAGTGGAGTGGGGTGTGGGGACCTTCGAGGTGAGTGAAAGTTGCTGAAGTTTGTCTGCAGAACACTCCCTGTAAATGTCTGTGACGACTGAGGAGATTTAGAGAATAACGCACACATTGTGCTGATTTCGACATGTGCCACTTAAAGATGGGACAGGCTGTGAGAAATGCATCTTTAGGGGATCACGGCACCACGCAAAGATAACAGCATGCACTTCAGCGGCAGGCCAGTCTCACGAACGCAGGCCTCCATAACAACTGTGTCAGTACTAACGGAGTGTTCCAGTTAGACATTAAAAGCTGAAAGAGCCAGTGCCTTTATACAAAGCCTGGAAGGTAACGAAGAGTTTCCCCAGGCTTCTCCTGGGCCTTGAAGCATGACCAGGTAACAAAGGAATTCTTCACAGGACCCTTTTAGGATTCAACAAGTTTTATTAGCAGCCTGAAGAAACTCCCCAGACCTCCACAAACAAGTTTATCGGGGTCTACAGGAATGCCCCAAACCTTTGTGATTTAACAGGAGACAAAACAAGGCTAATCACCCCAGCACTGGACCCATTTAGATTCAGTAAACTTACTGAGGCTCCAGAGGAAGGTCTTCGGGACTCAGACCTTAGTTATACATTTTAAAAAGTTAATCACTTACGTCTTTAAATAAATGCACACTTACACATAGACATATAGCTTAGGAGGTATAAAAGCTCTAAAAAACTTTGTAATTTTGAGTTGATCTGGTGATAATTTCCAGTCTTTCTCCCTGTAACCAGTTATAGAAATAAAAACTCTCTTCCTCCTCAGTTCATCTGCATCTCGTTATTGGGCCGTGAAAAATAACAGCCCCACCCTCAGTCTGGTCCAGGAACACTTACACACACCCAGATGGTACAGCCTGCTACACATTTAAGCCATATGGTGTAGCCTATTGCTCCGAGACGACGCACCTGCACAGCATGAGACTGTACTGAAGACTGTAGGCAACTGGAACACAAGGGTAAGTATTCTCGCATCTGAACACGTCTCAACATGGAAAAGGTAATGCGTTGCCCTGTAGCCCTGCGACTGCTAGATGTCACTCGGTGGTGGGAATTTTCAGCTTCATTATAATTTACAGGACCACATTTATCTACACGGTCTGTCATGGATAAATGTCATGCAATGCATGATTGTTCTCTGTTCTTAGCTTGTCATGAATTAAACATCATTTAAATAAGAACTAGGTTCATCTGGAGAGGACACCCTAATCAAATTCCTTTTTTAAAATTATTTTTTAAATGACGTAGTTTTGCTCCTGTTGCCCAGGCTGGAGTGCAATGGAACAATCTTGGCTCACTGCATCCTCCACCTCCCAGGTTCCAGTGATTCCCCAGCCTCAGCCTCCCGAGTGGCTGGGATTATAGGCATGTGCCACCACGCCTGGCTAATTTTGTATTTTCAGTAGAGATGGGGTTTCTTCATGTTGGGCAGGGTGGTCTTGAACTCCCGACCTCAGGTGATCTGCCCGCCTTGGCCTCCCAAAGTTCTGGGATTACAGGTATGAGCCACTGCGCCTGGCCAAAATTCCCTGTTTTTAGAGAAGCACATTTGATACATACGTATGCCTTTCTTCTCTTCTCAGCTAAGATCACCTTTACTTAAAGTCGTCTATTCTGAGAAACTTGAGGCTTTGTTTGTTGGGATTAAAATGTACCTTAAAAAATGCAAAGGTCTGCCTGAGTTCATTTTTATATAGAATGGCAGACGATGAACACTTTTTATATCCCCCCACCTTGAGGAAAGAACCCATATATAGACCATTGTTGCTCCTGGAAGATGGCACAGACGTTGGCTTTTTTCTAAGAAGATAATGACTTTGGTCCTGACTTTGCACCCAGTGCAATCTCCACTTCTAAGTAAGGCAACCTAGAGGCACGGATTTTGATGACTTCCACAGCCTGTGGTCTGCTGAGCATTTAAACAGACAAGCAGGCTAAGGGTCTGGCCCTCTGCTCAGGTAGTGGTTTCCTGTAATCAATGGCTCTCATGTAGATACAACTTTAACGTTAATATTTTTTCAAAACAATCCAAGTTATTATGGATATTTGGTAATAATTCATTGCAAAATGTATGCCAATTTTTCTTCAGATGTAAAAGATTGTTTCTCTCTTTCAGGATGCCTGGAATCCTGCCTCATTCCAGAATGAGAATGCACAAAGTTATCAGATCTTTTTTTTTTCTTTTTTCTTTCTTTTTGAGACAGAGTTTTGCTCTGTCTCCCAGGCTGGAGTGCAATGGCACGATCTCGGCTCACTGCAACCTCCATCTCCCGGGTTCAAGCAATTCTCCTGACTCAGCCACTCAAGTAGCTGGCTGCACTACTCGAGTAGATTACAGGCATGCACCACCATGCCTGGCTATTTTTAGTAGAGACAGGATTTCTCCATGTTGGTCAGGCTGGTCTCGAACTCCCAACCTCAGGTGATCCGCCCACCTTGGCCTCCCAAAATGCTAGGATTACAGGCATGAGCCACCGCGCTCGGCCAGTTATCAGACCTTTGAAGAGGAGCCATTCACAGGTGTGAGCATCTGCAAAACCATTGCCAAGTTGATACTTTTGCAAGGAAAACTTCCTTTTACAGGGAAGGCAGTTAACATTATAAAATACTCCAAAAGATAAATTCATTTAATATTCACCGAGTCTTTACCACAATCTCAAAAATACAGCAGATAAATCATCCTCTCTGTGCACAATGCAGGGAAGAGTGATTTGCTCAAAGCTACCTGATTGACCGACTCTGGCTCCAGGTCCTGCCTTCCTAAATCGTAGGGGCCCTTTGAGCTGCATCACCCACCCTAAGGAATTACAAAAGTTGGATTCCTTGAAAGAGCTGCATTGCTTAAAAGCCCTACATCTGCACTTCATTATGATTTTGAAGGCATAAAAACTGTTCTAATTTGGAAAGCTTTTTGATAGGTGAACTATGATGTTTCTGACTTACTTGCACATTTGAGCTTATGTATAGTTTTTCAAGTCTTTTTTATTCAATGATACTTGAAAGCGGTGTCTATTAAACAATCTTTTAAAAGTAACCTACTTGTCTTCTAATAGATGAAATCAACAGATTCAGCCTCAGTATCTTGTTCTATTATTGTATATTGTCTATTTTCTTGCACATGGTCTACATATGCTAAACACATGTGAGAAAAACATGAAATGTACACATTTCATTGTTTATAAATTTACATCAAAATATTAAACACCAGCTAATTATATGCATGCTAATGCATTTACAGCAAAATGAAGTAATATTCAAAATTTGCCTTGAAATGCATCAAAAATATAGCATAGTTTAATAAATGGCTAGAAAAATAACAGATAGGCATGTGACAAAGGAAATACTTTGTAAGTTTTCTTAGTGGAAGCTAGGTGGTGTATATTAAGGTGTTAAATTATTCCGGTATTAAAATTATTTCAATTTTGCCATATTTGAACATTTACATGATAAATTGCTGTGAGAAACATGATTTCTTATTTGATATGGCCTTGGTTTATTTTCTAGGACTAGCTAAAAGAAAAAGCATCATTGGATATTTCTGTTAGCATGCTAGTTTCATTGCAATGGGATCAGAGCGCAGATTAAGTGCAGGCTGGGTGCAGTGGTTCATGCCTGCAATCTTAGCAATTTGGGAAGCTGAGGCAGGGGGATCGCTTGAGTCCAGAAGTTCAAGACCAGCCTGGGTAACATGGTGAAAACCTGTTTATATATATCTAAAAAATTTTCAAAAATTAGCCAGGCATGGTGGTGCACGCATGTAGTCCCAGTTACTCAGGAGGCTGAGGCAGGAGGATCACCTGAGATGAGGGAAGTTGAGGCGGTGGTGAGCTATGATTGCACCACTGCACTCCCACCTGGGTGACAGAGTAAGACCCTATCTCCAAAATAAATAAAAAATAAATAAATTCACACCTCTACAAAGAAATGCAGACCAATACAAACAATACAATTTTCCATGTTGAATAAGTTTATGTAGTTTTAGTATCAAACAGTGCATACCTTCACATGTTGGGAGAGAACCTTCAAACTGCAACTGGGAACTGAGCTTGCAGGTCAGAGTGTCGGTCCCCACCAAGGTGTACCCGGGGTGGCACTGGTACTTCACAAAATCTCCTGGAAGAGTCAATACAACAAACCAGGAATTTGTGTGTGACCTTCTGGGCGTGTGAAGGTGTTACACATATCAGACTACTTAATGAATTAAATCAACTTGCAAATCTTTTTAGAAACTGTGTCTGTATTTATTTTTAGTCTTTTAAAAGTAGTACCATTTTAAGTTCTTAATTTATAAAGATGCTCTATTAAGCTTAGCCGATATTAGTACTGAAATGATGGGCCAGCTTTTCTTCCTTGACTGATGCATTCACGTTGGTTTCCCTTCCCCAGTGATTGCAGATGGAAAAAAAAAAAAAAAAAAGGAAAACAGATGCTATGGTTTAAGCAAGATTGTAGAATCAAATGGCTTTACAGCATCCATGGAGACTCATGTCTGACCTTGGCCTACTTAGCACAATGTTCCAATTAACTAAGCCAGGGTGAGGACAGCAGAAATCGGGTCACATGGTTTGACCAGTGGTCTGAAACACAGGGCAGAGTTTTATAATTGGGACTGAAAAATCCTGGGTTACAATAATTATACTATAAACATATGCCATCACTGCCTTCTCAGTATGACCAGAAGAGTATTTAATAAATTAGATCATTAATATAAAATGATAAAGCAGAAATCCTAAATATCATCACCAAATATTTTCTCTTATTATATCCCAGTTTCAAGGAAATGCTAATGTTATGTAATCATCCTTTTAGCCACGAATGATTAAGATTTTTCTCAAGTGCATGAATGTGTCCCCCTAACTAAATGCAGATATCTGCCCAAGTCTGTCTAGCAAATATGATTAGCAAATGTCGTAGAGGAAAAAAATGTTCAAAATGACATCAAAATTCAAATGGCAAAACAAAAAAAAATCATGGTAATGAAGAAGGACAGACATTTTCTATTTGACACATGACCTCTGCATAAGTTCTCAGCAATACTTTAAGGATAGTTTGCTTTTTGTTTTCGTTTTTGTTTCTCTGACAAATTACTCATTAACTTGTCTGAGTAATGATTACAATGAGAAGTGGGTGTAAAAAAATGTCGTGTTGAGTTCATGGTATTGTAATGAAGAAAATATTACCTATTTCAAAATCATCATCCTCAGTAAGCATTTCTGCCTGTGGAACCGCTGGGGGAGGTTGACATTTCTTGAGCTGAAATGCTAAATGATTAATGGAAAGAATAATAATAATTGCAATTACACTTGCTGAATAAACACAAGTATTACAAAAATTCACCTGACAGTTGTTATAATGCTTAAGTATGCTGACTGAAATGTCTATATTCATGAATCATAGTTTTATAAAATTCCCAAGCTTCAAATGTTCATATTATTATTTAATGCCAAAAAATAGTTAAAGCCCAAGGAAAAAAGTATACAATTATTTTTTAAAGTATAGCATTTAAAGAAACACACTTTACAGATGTTTGGAATTTTGCAAGAAGAATGACTCAACAGTCAACCTGGCTCCCTGTCCATGTTTAGATTTGCTAACATTTGCCCTGTCCCTTGTCCCGAGGAATTTTGTGGGTGGCAGTGTTCGTGAGAGATAAGCGATTGATTGATAGATGTTCTGCATACCATTTAGAGTGCATTCCCAGGATTATTGGAGGTTTGCTTTCACACCATTTATAGTTACATGACATTTGCTATAACATCTTATCTTGAGACAGGGATGAGTAAATCTATAGAAGGTGCCAAATCTCTTTCAATGGTCTTCATCTCAGAGTTTCACTTACGGTACATGTATCTTGGAATAAATCCAAGCTTGATATGATGTGAAAGAATAAAGATATCATTAAACAAGAAAAGGACCACAGGAAACAGTGGCCTCCAATGCAAGAGAATCATATACGCCCTTGGCTGAGTCAAGAAACTTCAGCAGGAAACACCACATGGAATTCTCAGTCTTAATTACCGGAGTGAAAATCAACTGACCGTGGAAATTGAGGACAAAGAAGCCTCCATTTGAAAAGTCGCTGTGGAACTTGAGCAAGACTTGGTTGGTGGAACTATATGCCGTTTCGAGGGCTGTGTTGCCACTGAAAACTCCCAGCTGGGGTGAGTTCTGATCGGGACCATCCCTAGAAAGACAGAAAGAGGCGGCCGTCTAAGTATATTTACTTCTGAGTGAGATTAATGGAAACTTTGGCTAATGAATTGATTTTTTTAATAAAAGCAATAAAACATATCCACTCTCTGGATACTGTGTTTGTAAACACTAAGATGTTGAATTCCCACAAAGTTGAGGAACCCTCCAGTCTCTGTCTTTCATTAGTGTTCAGCAGGCGCTCAGCACTGGTCAAATGTCAACAGCAGCGTGCCTTTCCTCATCCATGTTGCGTGATTTTTGTCATTGTTTCATCAAGCATAAAGGGAGTTTTGTAAGCACTCTTTCTTTTACCAGAAAGAGGTAAAATTGGCCAGTCACGGTGGCTCTCACCTTGAATCCCAGCATTTTGGGAGGCCAAGGTGGACAGATCACCTGAGGTCAGGAGTTCAAGACCAGCCTGGCCAGCATGGTCTTCTGCTTCTACTTGCCCTGGCCACTGGCTTCTGCTCCTGCTTCCACTGTGGGCTCCGACAAGAGTGCAGCCACACCACACACAACATGCACACACACATAACATACACGCCACACACACAGACACCACACACATAAACACACATATAAGCCACACACAGACATACACAAGCCACACACACCACACATACACACCTATAGAGACACACATCACACAGATATACCCCCCACACACCCACAAACACACATCCTCTACACACACACAGATACAGACACACAGACACAATTCTGCCTATTTCTACCATGCCGCAAAACCCACATGTACTATGTGAAATTGATTCCCTATATCTCTGGATTTCGTTGAATTTCTTCTCTAGTAATCTAAGAAGTTTATTCTAAATATGTGCCCTGTATATAAATGGCATATGTATGCTAAGTCAGAATTGTTTATCACGATTACAGATATTTTGACTTGAGAGTTTCTCATACCAAACAGCAATGTAATCGTTCACAGCTTCCGTCTGTAACAGGGTGAAGTTGATGTAAACTCCGTGCCCGGGAGGCACCGTGATGAGCCAAATGCAGTCTTTCAGGATCGGATACTCATCAGGAAAGCCAGGGGAGTAGATGGTGCCATTCTGAGAAGTTACATTGTACCCACAAGGGGCTGCGAAGGAAGCCAAGAAAAAACAAATGCCATACAGCTGATTTTAGAAAGTAGAAAGCTAAATATTTGACTCCAAAGTACCTTAGCCAACATTTTTCCTGAAGGGAAGTAAGTGAGAAATATTTCTGATGACTGTTTTGTCAAAATTACTCTCCTAAAATTTGAAGACCTTAGAAGAATTATATGTCTAAGCTAAGTTATCTCAGTTTTATTTAATATATTCTCCATATCTTCAAAATTCCTTTAGGACAAATTTATTCTTCTATGACTCAAATAAAATCCTTAGTTATCATCTGTGACCTGCTGATAACCCATTCGAGTGTCCAGCACAATGAATTATGGGGAAAGTATTCATAACTATGTAACTGCTTTTTCTAACTCACACCGCTAGACCCTATTTACAAGTCATCTGAAACAGTTTTATCTAAGTCTATTTGCCTTAAAACAAAAACATTATCAATTCTTTACTTATCTTACTTCTTCGGATATACACCTGAAGAAGTAAGATAATGTAATGTAAGATTATGTGAGTGATGTTTTACGGAAGCATTTCCAGTTTTTACAAGTGTTCAACAACTTGAAGAACTACCACAATACCCAATTTATTTTCATTTTTGTTAAGAAATGTATATTTATTATTTTAATGGTAATTATTTTATTTATGGAAAACGACAAGTCCAAGCACTAATGGAATAACCTGAAATACAGTCTTTAATTCAAACATAGTGCATCAAAGTCATAAAACTTTGAACTTTGAAATCAAACCAACAGCTAAGAGGTGTGAGATGAGTGTTCACAACTCTCTTGAACCTTGAAGGGCTGCCAAAGATGGTATAGAATTTAGGTGGAGGAAAAAGGCCCAAATACACAAACAGATAAACAAAAGAAAAGTTTAATAACAAGTGAGAATATACCGTGAGGCAGGATACGATACATTGCTGAACCACTGAACCGCACAGATGTGTATTGATTTGAAAAGAACATTGGATTGAACCTGACTGGGGATTTGGATCCTTTCATCAGAAGAAAGGACTATATGTAGAGACTATTTTAAAAGTTTTACAGCATCATTATTACTAAGTGAGGTCTGGAGTCACACAAACCTGGATTTGCAAGCTGGAGAAGCAAATTACCCCTGGGAGCCTCCATTTCTGTAAATTCTATGAGGTCAGGGTCTGGGACACTCCTGAAGCTTGTCATCTGTAACACGGGACCATATGCCGGGCGCGGTGGCTCACGCCTGTAACCCCAGCAGTTTGGGAAACTGAGGGGGGTGGATCACCTTAGGTCGGGAGTTCAAGACCAGCCTGGCTAACATGGTGAAACCCCAACTCTACTAAAAATACAAAAATTAGCCAGGCATGGTGGTGCACACCTGTAATCCCAGGTACTTGGGGGGCTGAGGCAGGAGAATTGCTTCAATCTGGGAGGTGGAGGGTGCAGTAATCCAAGATTGTGCCATTGCACTCCAGCCTGGGTGACACAGAGAGTCTCTGTCTCTAATAATAATTAACAATAATAATAATGGGACTATAAACCACGCTGTCCCTATAACAAGCTACTTTGGTCTCCTGTTGGCAGTGCACTTTTCCTCCCTCCAGACGTCGAGGGAGTGTTCACATGCCTTTCTTCTATTTTCTGCCAAGGCAAATTTGTCTCTTCCTTCAAAACTCAATGCCTTGTCACTGCCTTCTTAAAGTCTTTCCTGGTTGCTCTGGCTCTAGAGGTCCAGCATCTGCTCACAGACCACACAGCTCCCACGAGACTGTCAGCCTCTAGGAGACATGGTCTGCGTCTCCTCCTCCCACCCCAGCCGCTACCTCCTTTCATCAGTCCCTATTGTCTAGCTCGGATCGTGATAAACAAATTGATGAATTGATGAATTAGAGAATAACCAGAAAGCACTTTAATAGTAAACTCATAAAACCAATTAGGCTGAAACCCTTTACGAGTGACTCCATGCTATTAATTTAGTGTGGACTTACAATGCTAAGGTTTCCCTTTTGCATTTCTGCTTTTCTAGTTTAATCTTGAAGTTATCTAACCACATTATACATAGTAGCACCCTTCCTGTTGGGAAAACAAAACAAAAAGCCATCGTTCCCACGTCTTAAAGGGCAAAAGAAATGAGGTGGTGTTTTTCTTGGTAGAACACATTCCTGATTCCAATATTCTTTATGCCACTGAATAGCTCTATGACATTGAGCAAGTCAGTGATTCTTGCCATGATTTATCTATGAAATCCAAATAACAAATCTTTTCAATCACTCCCTCAACAAGTATCTACTGAGAGCGTATTATGTACCAGAAAGGGTGCTTGGGGCTGGAGACGCCATAGTGAACCGTGGAGACCCTGTTGCTGCCTTTATAAAAAGCTTACTGAACAGTGATGAAAAGAGATATTAAGCAAACACTACAGAAGTTTAAAATTCAACGGGTGCAAGCACTGTGAAGGAAAAGAAGAGACGCTCACCATCACATAAGATAATAACATTCTATCTGTGAGCACACAAAATTCTCTCAAAGCAAAATCCTGTTGCCCTCCCACTGGGTAGTCTAGAGATGAAAAAAAAGAAGACCCTAAAAAAACTGGCGTCAAAATTTCCCCTCTCCTTTTCCCTGGCCTGATCTTTATCTAGTTCCAGAAAGTCTTTAGCCTCCCTGGAGTGGCATCAAAGGCATGCTTGCATTTCCCCAAGTGGTGGCGTCTCACTGAGCTCCGCAGAGACACCGGGCTGTGATCTGCCTCCGCAGGAAGTGTGCGTGTCTCGGCAGGAAGCGCATCCCCCCTGCCTTCCCTTCCCTGGAGGCGGGCTTCAAAGTGGAGTCTGGAGTGAGATGAAGGAGGAAGCTCTGCGTGGAGCACAGCAGGTACCTCCCAGCTCCTCACCTGTCTGCCTGGGAGACTCTGGTCCGAGCCTGACCAGGAAGACAAGCAGCTGACCATGGCATCAGCAACTGAAAGAGATGGAGAGGCCACACTCCCTCCAGTCTCGGGAGCCGTGGAGTAAAGAGACGCGCACGCATTTCCGTGCTCATGAATACCCGGATGTGCACGTGGGAGAGAGCATTGCGGTGCAAGGCGGTGGAGGAGGGAATTGCTGAAGCTGTTTGCTCATGTATTTTTCCAGAGAATAAGCACATAAAGATAACAAAGCAGCATATTTTGATCCAATTCTAGAGCCAGCAGTCGCTGTGTTCAAAGTGATGGCGGTGATGTCTAACTTGAATGCCATGCCCAATGGCAAACTTGCCCAGGTACCCTGGCGCCACTGACCTCCCCCACAGCACCACTCTCTACCATTGCCTCAAACACCACCGAGGCTTCCCTTCGTTAATTGACATCCCTGAGAAGTGGGAAGAGGGGACTTTTGGTGGTTCACACACACAAAAGTAATGGGTATATGTGACTGACTCCTGCTCAGGTGTGAAGCCAGAGCTAGAAGATACCAGAAAATCAACTGGTGGGCTGGCACACATTGGCAAAGGAGGGCGGAGGTACAAGGAAACATCTCTTTATTGTGCTACCTTTTCCTCTCTTTATGCAATGTGACTTTCTGTGAAGAGAGATGGATAGGGCATATTAAGTGATGTTACATCAAATTAAAATTAAAACAGGCTGGCTGTGTGTGGCTCATAGCTATAATTTCAGCACTTTGGTAGGCTGAGGCAGGAGGATCATTTGAGCCCAGGAGTTC